TCATTCTGGCCCGCGGTTGTGCGTTTTCTTGTGCTCATTCTGACCCGAGGTTGTGCGTTTTCTTGTGCTCATTCTGGCCCGCGCGTGCCTTGTGTGTTGTGTAGTGACGCGAGTCTGGACAGCCTTGCTTGGCGCAGAAGCTGCGGGCCTCAGATTCTGCCGAGGTGCAGAATATATATATATAATTATTGGGCAAAGACATGTGTTCCCCATTGTGCCCATGCTGTCACCTCTTGGCCTCAAGCGCCGAACTCCCAAGATATCACAAATCATTGTCTTACAGTGGCTGCACAAGCACCACCGGCACCTAGCACATTCCTTTTCCGCATTCCCTGCTGCGTTGCATGGCCTTGTCCTCGCCGGCTTGAGTTTGGGATTTGTTTAAATACGCACCCGAGGCGGTCTTTCTCTTTGACACCCTTTCAGCGATTGTTGTGTGGTCCTGGCCTGGTACATATCGTTTGCAGGGATGGGGGGTTGAAACCCAGAACCTGGATCATAAATTACACATCGGCTGCGAAGCCATCTGAATCGAAACATTTGGGGTGAAATTCGGCACTTTCAGCCATAGTGTAACTTGTTCACCGCTGGCGCGAGAATTGGCAGAGATATTGTCTGCGGAGCCATATTGGTAAGTGTCACCATTTTGTGACCAACAGAGGGATCGAGTACCTGAATGAAATGCGACTCAGGCACTGTGTAGCCTTGGGGACAACCTGTGTTCCCGACACCGCCAGCTAGATGTTTGATCATTTATCCCAGCTCACCGCTCACCCCAAGAAAGTACACTTCCAGGCCACCCCTATATATGAGTTAGCGTCAAAAATATATGCTTGGAGTGTTTTCGTTTCACTTTTGTCAGTCCCCCATCGTTTTCCATGGTTTTGGATTTTGGAAGTATGTATACATAGTTCTTTTGAAATCATATTGAATATATATATATATATATGATGCATGCTCCCATCTCCTCGCGAAAGGCTTGCAGCTGCCAATCGATGCTCTCCAAGGCCTGCAGCTTTGGTCAGAACATGGGAGGAGCCGGGTGCTGAGACTTACACCCTCAACGTTGGTTTCAAGCTCCCTCGTGCTCGGCTCTCTTTGACCTGCAGAACGCTTCTTTTGCTCAGGCCCTCAGCCACTGCTGAACAGCTTCTTGGAGATCCTCTAAGCGCACCGCAGGCCCCACCAGGGTGGGCTCGTACAGCACCACCCGGTAGAAAGCGAATGCGGCACCAGCTCCACCATACCACATGCTTTTGTAGGGTGGGAACTGGCCGGGTACTCCGATTTGAGCTTCCGGGCTGCCAACCAACTCGATGATTCCGGTGCCATTCTGTGCCAACAGCATATTGGCCAGTGCTCCACCATGCTCTCCGATAATGAGCCTGGCTTGCCGCACCTTCCGCACTTGCTCAAGGAAGTCTTCGCGGCCAGGGCAAAAGGTGAGCAACTGGAAGTCGGACTTTGCCTCCACCAGGACTCTGGTCACGGCCCCTACAGCCTCCGGCTCGTTGGCCAACTGGCGACGCTCACTGCATCGCTGCACAAACACCACGGAGTCAGGCCTTGATTCTGTGAAACCGGCATATCTGGCTATGGCATCTGAAACTTCGGGACCCAGCCGGTAGCCTGGCAAGCGCCACCAAAAATCGGCATAAATGCGGGGATCGGTTCGCTCCAGAAAAGGCGGGTCAGCACCATCCACCCGCCCTGTGCGGCATAGAGTCATGGTCCGGCCAGGTTTGACACAAAGCAGCTTGTGTGCTTCCAAGCTTGTGATGGGAATATCCAGAAGCTGCTCTGATGGAATGCCCATGCTCTGCAGCAGTTGGCCTTGAATGGGAGAGTAGATCACCAGCTTCATGTTGGAACCCCTCAAAAGCGGCAGCACAGTCCAAGCTTGTGCCAAAAGGTCGGTGAGGGCATGCTGGTACTCCATTCCTGGAATTGTGCGCGTGCTTGGGAGCACGAGGATGTCTTCGTCCACCATCTCCACAGACAACTCCTGCCATGCTGGATCATCCGGACAGCTTCCAGAGCAATGTCTGTATGCATCATACCTGTGAGTACCATTCGTGGCCATGACCACCGTCGGCTTCGCGCTGAAACTAATGCAGCCATTCTCCAGAGCGGCAACGTCAGCAGTTAAGGCCACGTCCTGGTCGGTGATGAAATAATCTGGAGCCACGTGGCAGGCGTAGTGTCGGTAGGCCTCAAGCACTGAGAGGTTCTGGGACACCAAAGCTGGAAACCGACGTCCGATGTTGGCGCACTTGGAATCCAAACCACGTTGCCATCGTGGTGGAAAGTGCCGCAAAGTACTCCACTGCAAGGCCGTGGAAAGAACTGTTGAGCGAAGCTGCTCTTGAAAGAACTGGAGCGTCTGCGACACGGGAGAGTCTGCGTCCACTTTGAGAGCAAGTTGCAGAAAGAAGTCGGAGGTAGGTTCGACACAAGTCTCAGAACTCACTCGGAAGATCAGTGTCGCCAGGATCCCCAAAACCGAAACAAAATCCATGGCAAGCTTATGGCACGGCATCACACTTGAGCCACGATATGGCTGATGCACATGTGGCCAAAGCATGCCAAAGCCTTCAGCCAAATCTTAAGCGCCAAATGAATTGAAGTTGGCCCTCATATAACCTCCGCAACCTACCGAAGATTCAGAAGCTTCAATGAATTGCTTCCCTTTCATGCGCCTGCAGCTTCTCCTCCGCTGCTGTCATGCCCGCACTAAAATTATTCGGCTAACTTCCGGCATGTTCTAAGCCTCTGGCAGTGTCAAGCCCGGGATCCGAAACGCTGGCCGGCACAGAGTTCGATTAAAGCACCTGTGACATGTCCCGACAACTACGGTGCACCCACCTTACAGATGGGCAACAACCGCCGCACTTCCTGTGTATGGCTGTCAAACAGTTCAGTTGCTCTGGCTTTCTATTCTCCGCACAGGTCTCATGTCCATCGTTGCAAATTGCAAGGTGGAACATTGAGCTCTTTCGAGACACACTCTGATCGTCACTGGCCTAGGCATGCCTAGGCCGGGGCACTACAACTCCATGCTTCATGCAGAATGCCTCTTGCGTCGCGCCTGTCAAACACTGGCCGCAAAATCTCAGGCTGTGATATGCGATGTCGCATCTTCACGCCTTTACATTCTGGCATCAGCCAAGTGGCACGTTCGCCCACAACAACAGTCCTACCTGTTCTTGTGAGCTCGTCTCTGGCCGTCAGAAAATCCGAGCACCATGTCACGCCACTCCTTCGACGTGGAACTGAAGAATGGCGAAGCAGCTGCGCTAAGACCCCATGAGGGCTCCACAAAGCAGCAAACTGGCTGCCGCATCGTGTCCTGCCTCTGTGGCATACCAGAAAGGTGCGCAACCATAGCCATCCGGAGCATTCGGGTCACATCCATTGCGGAGAAGATACTGCAGAATAGGAGCTTGCTCATCTGAGTCCTGGTTGGCCAGTGTATAGCATAGAATGGGCAACTCCTGCCAAGTGCGTCTATGATGTGTACGGCCATGGGGGAGTGTTCCGCGAACAGCTCCATAGTGCCAAAGTCTATATACACTATGCAGTGTGTGGGGTAAGAGGGAGGTTCTGCCAAAGTACACTTAGGAGAGCCCAAGGAAAGCATCAAACCGAGCTCTGAGATGTGCAACCTTTCGAAACATGAGCCAGAAAGACTATTGGGTGGATCAATCTAAAGTACAGTTCATTTGTGCACTTGGATAAGACAGCACCTACTGTAATAGCAGCCTACAGTCCTCTTTTGATCGACTGCCTCAAAGCCTCCTTGAGAGACATCTCGGGGCTACTCTACAAGTGAAACTGAGCTCTGCATGCCTCTTGGAGGCATTGGAGGGCAACAACCTGAAAGCACCTCTTGAATGAATGCCTGACTGTGTTGTATAGTCAGCTAGATGCAGTTCGTGACTTTCATCAGCCGAGTGCACTGGCATATCCAGCTGCTTTCATGGCTTCTCAGCAACTGACACATCACAAACAAAGCCGCCGCCAGGAGCTCGACGGTAAGCACTACCTCAACAGGCTAAGAGTGCTCGAGTCCATCGAGCAGTCAAAGCACGTCCCCGAACAGGCCCGCCCTGGCCGCCCTGGCCTGTGCCAAGGAAAGGGTTGTCGTGCCTTGGCTGGCCGTGCTAAACGCCACATGAAACAACACATTCAGCCACGCGGCTCATACCTGCCATTCAGGAGCGGCAGGCTGTCCGCTCGAAGCATTTCCTGCACGAGAAGTGGGGCACCATAAGGATCAAACATCGAGGCATTGAGGCTGCAAGTCTTGATTTCTGGAATGCATTTGTCGCTGCTCCGGAAACGTAGCGCTTCAGCTTGCCATCACGATAGATTCGCACCTTTTCTGAAGCAATAGCTTTTTCTGAGGCAGACTGCACCACAGCAGCTGATACCTGCAAAACGACAGAGCAACTAAAAATAAATAAGGACTGAGGTTGTGTTGATACCTTGAATAAAAATGCACATATATTTAAAAAAAAAATATATATATATATACATATACTAGTCCTATAGCGTTATCTTTCTGACGTCGGGTACCAGAAATGTCCCGAAATCCTCTGCTTCATCTGTAACTTGAGAGATGGAGGGATGTATTTGCGAGAGCTGCATTGAATATTGAGTTGATTCAAAAACTCGAGCATTGTCACGCCAAAACGAATCAACACGGCCATTGTTCATTCCTCGTTGAAGGAAAGCATGTTCATGGCTGGACTTTCAGATTCTAGAGCGCAACGGGGAAGAAACATCCCAAATGAAAAGCTGAAAGAAAGAAACACTGAACGCCCAACGTTCGTACGATTCATAGCATGAGTGCTGAAATGCCCGCCGTTGGACCAAGCTGGACACACATGATTCGCACCGCCTCGTCTGACTCGTCTGGAACTGCGGTTGGCCTCGTTTGGGGGCCACATGAGGCCACTGGCGTTATTGCAGCAAAATTGAATCTGGCCTTGTCCCTGAACCGGCCGTTTCAGCCTGCTCTGCATCAGTACCGATGTGAGCTTCCTGAACATCGAGAGAAAACATCCACCAAACCTGTTTCTCCGTGTGGGCCAATGATGACTTATGTAGCATTCCTAGCACAACACACTCAAGAAGAAAGGGCCTCAGAATAGAACCGATTCCCCCAAGATTACCCTCTGGCAGCTGTCCTGCTTTTTGCGTTGCCTTTTGCGCCGAGGCTTGCTTTGCACAAAGTGCACCTCTAGCGCCTCCTGCCCAGTCCAGCGGAGCAACTCTAGCCAGACCTTGGAGGGATCAGTGCCCAATTATCTGACTGCGCCTTCACAACCGAAAAGAATGTTATGAGAACGTGAATCTATGCCGCGAGCCCCAGCAGAAGAAAAGCGTAGCTCAGTCCTCCAGTCTAAACCGGACAATTTTTTGAAGTCCTGCAAGCAGAACAAACAACTGTGTGTCTCTGTTTTGGAATTTATTTGGACGTAATTCTCTTCATATACACCTGCATAAACGCAAGACTCATCACACAAAACTATCCTCGCGAGCTGAAAGGCAGTAGGCTCCCTTCACATCCAAGCTCTTAACCATTTGGCCAAAGCGCTTGTACGCACGCTGATCTTTTCGAGCTTCAGACTTTTTGCCATAAGGTACCTGAGCCATCTCTGACCAAGCCAAACATATCCAAACATGACAGCCGGATGGACTTGATTGTACTGAGTTCAGGTGAGAAAGGTTTAACACACTGAATGGTGATTTGCCTCAAAATGAAATGTTGCTGAACCTGGGCATCTGGAACATGAACACAGACTCGAGATAAAATAGAAAACCTGCAACAAAAAAATGTCACATTCTTGGCAAATTCACTATGTGCCTATTTGCCTTTGGTCTTCAATCTGCTGCCTTATGTGCCCCTAGCCCTGCTCCACCCCCAATCACTTCAGGCTTCGGTTCACCAAACAGTACAACTTATGACCCAGGAGTTGGGACCCCATCCGTAAACGACAGGACTTCTTCCGAGCTGCGTTCGTCATGATCAAGGGGCGGTGACCCCGAATCTGCTCAGCCACTGTAGCAGCAGGAAGTGAATGGAAGGCGATTTGGCAAGGCAAGCGATGTGTCACAAGCGACCTGCTATCTTCCTGCTCAGGAGGCAATTGCCAGGCCACAGTCACATTGTGCTGACCGTTTTGACTCCACTCCGAAAAAATACGAAGTGCAAGCAAACTTGCAAGAGACTGGGGGACAAAATCCTTCCATGAGCTGGATATCTCAAAGCTGGCCTCCCCACCCCGTGAAGGGGCCCATAGCAGTGAAGGCCCTCTGGACCGCGGCAGTGAACGAGCAAATGCCTCCAGAAGGACTACTTTCTCACCAAACATGCTCTGCCTCCAGTCCTACGGACGACCAAAGAAAAGCCTGCAGATTGAGATGGGCAAGTTTCACCAGCTCTGGGTGACCTTCATGGCTTCCGAGAAGTAGCAGCTGCTGAATCTGCGGATGAGGTGTGAGCTGCAATGACTGCAGCACCTCGAGCTAGACAGCTTGGCAGGTTTGATCATGCCACGCCCTTCACCGTTGCGAACCTAAGCCCTCAATTGAATCATTGCATACGCCTGCTTCTTTATCTTGTCATATCTTAAATCGGCTCGCCAAAATCAAGAAAAGCAACCATTAGGTGTTTATATTTGTATTTGTTAGGTCTTCGTAAGGGGTACTCTTTGCCAAGACGTTGATGCTTCAATCTTTTTTAATGATGATGGTATATACAGTAAAGAATTTGATTGTTTCAAGCTAGGTTTAAATGTGCCTTTTGCTGAGACAATGTATATGATTAGTTTTAAAATCTATCAAGTGGTGAACTAACTATACTTCAAAAGGTTTTAAGTAGGTTTTATATATATATATATATGTTTGTTTGTACAGGAGTAGGTCAAGTTAGTTATCGATGCCTACTACTTACACCACATAAACTCAAAAGCAGGTTTGTTATTGTAGAGCCGAAAGTCAAGTTTATAATTGTATTGACATTATTGAGCTTGCTATTGACACTATTTAGTTAATAATTGTATGTTTGAAAAAACTGGTCTATAAATGCAATTGACCCGCTCTCTATTTTCAACCTACTGAAAAATCGGGTTTTTCTATTGACAGTACAGTACTGTAGTTGGCCCAGTTGGCTATTAAATATATCTAATTAATATTCGAGTCCATCATGTGTATGCTGCATGCTGCGAAAAATGCAGCTGCACAGTTGAGTCTACTGGGCCACACCTCTTGAAAGTGCATCTGATTGAAGTCCGGAAAGTTCTGGAAAGGCATCATCATTGCCTTAGTCTGAAAGGACAATCTGAGCGAGCTTGAATGAAGAAAATACAGCTTGTCTGGACTTGTCGCGTATGCGTGTGAATTGGATTGCAGTTTCCCAAAGCAAACCACACAAAGCCCAAGCAATGTGCAGGGCCAAAGTGGAGACAAGGCATCCTCTTTTCTTGCTTTAGCTTCAGCTCCGTGAAGTTGTGGGTAGGACATCTTAAGGGATGCTGTTACACACCCTCCTTGCGGTATGCAGGTGGAAGAAGAGAAGCAAAGCACAGCTTGCTTACAACCCTTTGCACCTTCATAGCAAAGGGAAACCTATGTCCTCTATCTGAGAATTCACCAATGCTTTGTCTCCAAAATGAAGGCACCAAGGAACAGGACTGGCCGGCGGCACCCCAAGCGCGATACCCAAAGCCTCCAGGATCATGGTGCCCTTTCCACAGAACGGATCCCAAATGCATAGCTTGTGCCTAAAGAGACAACAAACAGGGCTGTGTGGTCATCAGGGCAACATGGAGAAGCACAAGTTGAAGGACAAGCTGCCCAGACGCAGCGCACTCCTCCAAATGCTGCAAGAAGTTGGATTTCAGCACCTTGCACGCACTGAGTGGCATCTCTTTAGTGCCTTTAAGCTCGCGATCTTCGTCTCACCTATATAACATAATATAACCACCTTCAGTTTGTCTCAATACCTGGTACCAGTTCTTCGCTTGTGAGAGCACATGAGTCCCAAACACAGGCTGCAGCATGAGCAGGTTCAAGAAGCCAGGGGCTCCGAGTGCTCGGCTCCTCAAGGTCCGAATGCCCAGCCGGCTCTGCATGCACAGCTGAGTTCATAAAATGCCGTTCTCCTCTGGATCCAGGTCTATCTCTTTCTCATCAAGTGCCAGCTCGTACGCACGTGCATGCGGCACTGCAGTGGCCCCCACACTGAGGTGGCATTCATTCCTTGGTGCTCAACACACAGCACACACAAAGGACTCCACAAACAAGAAAGCTTTATGCTACGATGCTCATCTTTGGGAATGGTTAATTGCTTGTTACTAGCAGCAGGAATGCTAGTCCGAAACCAAATCATAACAGCTGGATCCCCCTGCCACCAGGCTGCTGGAACAGGTCAACGTGCACAGTTGGGAATGGCGGCCCTTCCTGAGCACTGCGCAGAGCTGCATTTTAAATGTTTTGGGTGTACGACTGTACAACAGTGCAATGTTGTGGTGATGGGGCACTGTTCATGAACAAACAAGGGCGATCAAGTCTACTTTGATTCAATGATGGGCAGTCACAAATCGCCAAGCAAACCCAAGGCCCCAGCACATGACCTGCATACGCACGTTCTGCAAATTATCTTACTTATACCCTGTTTTTTGGCAATCCTGCAGCTAAGTTGCAGGTGCAGGTCTGCCATAGAACTTTGCGTCCTCCTGTGTGGGAGAAAGATGTCGTCCAAACATTTTCAGACCTACTAGCTGTTTTGACTCGCATCCAGCCACTTGCCAGCAAATGGGACATGGCCCTGATCAGGACCTCAATTGCCCCCTCATATTGAATGTTGAAATGTTCACATCAACCTTTTAGCATGGCTTCAAAGAGCATGTTCAAGAAGCACTCCGCGTCACTTGTTCTCTAATATTACGTTGGCTCTCTTTTACCTTTGTTCCCTCATGTTTGTGAACAGAATTCCAAGAATACCAAGAGTTGCCAGAATAAGTGAAGGATTTCTATACCCCGGCGCATGCTGCCAGAAAGGCACTGCTCAGCAGGCGCTTGGCGCAGCTCCTTCTCCTGCAGCTTCAGGCTCATAAAGAACTGCCTGCGCTTCTCAATACCTCGCCATCCCGAAGGACCCAAGAAAAAGAGTGAGCGAACAGTAAGAGACTATGGTGACTATACTATACTAACAGAGAACCATGAAGGGTCCAGAATGTTGTTTCACAATTGGGGGGTGGAAAGGGCAACAAATTGAAGGTCCAACATACAGCTGTCAACGCTTCAACATACTCACCCCATCGTTCGCAAAGCAAAACCTTCAGCAACTCACAAAAATGTTCTCCCGCTTTCTGGCGTACCACTGAGCACTCCTCGCTCAATCACCTCTGAGTGGTAGAGCCGGGATTTCTCAGATCGTACCTTCAACCTCTGCAATGAGAAAAACTTGCAAAAACAATTGAAATGAATTGAACCAGCAAAAAACAATCCTTGAGCAGGCATCTGAGGAGCGGAGGGCCAATGGGTTCTGATCGGAACCACAAGTAGTCTGGCCAAGCGCAGCCAGCCACCTCAAATTTCAGGTTTGGTGGATGCGACCGTGCTGCCGGATTGTCGGTGCACAAAAAAGGTCAGACCCAAAAGGGTAAAGTGCCGCCTGCATAGGTCAGTTATAGGCAGCTAGACAATGAAACCCATACATACCTTTCATGTGGGTTGTTTTATGGAGATGCCTTGACACCAGGTGTCACATCGTTGACTCCACTTTTCAGAGCCGCATAGTTCGACAAGGTAGACTCATAGCCAGCGTGGAAAATGTCGCCGACGCCCAGGCGCAGCCCCAGCACCAGTCGGCTCTGCAAAGCTGCCCGCCACAGTGCAGACTCGGGTGCTGAGAGCAGCAGCTCACCTGCACGCCGAACCTCGGGCATGCCCAGCTGCAGGGCCTGGGACAGAATCTGTGAGGAATTGGAAGGGGCCAACAATCTGAAGCGCAGTAGAGCCTCCACCTCCCGTTGGAGCATCTTCTCGAGGCCTCAGAATGTTTGGGGCACCTGGATGGTTGCAGAACCATGCATGTGCTGCTTGCCCTGGAGGTGTTCTCAATCTAAGCCGAGGACCTGGGGCCGTGTCTAAGTACAGGCGCCTGGAGGCAGTGCATCTCATGTTCACTATACCTTTGGCATCAAGGATGACAAGAGGAAAAGCACCTGCAGATCCTGCAGTGCATTTCTCTTCGCCTTTCCCGTGCATCTCTTGTACCCAATTTTGCTACGGCCCTGATACACCACGTTCTTGGCACGAAGAAAACACTGACACTATCACTATGGGGGTCTCCTCGGCTCCAGCGCCCTTGTGGCTGCCGACTCCAGCTGTGCCAATGCACCTTTGGCTGCAGTTCTTGCATTTCGCGCCAGGCTCGACATGCATTTGCCAGCACCGTTGGACTGCAAGCCCTCAACAGGACTGCATTGGATTGCAGGGCTGGGCTGAGCTTTGGTGCTATCCAGCCGTGTTGTTGTTGAGAAGAACTGATGAGTGGCGGGTGTGCTCGTGATCGTCTTTCTCAATCGCCAGTTCTCGCAGTTCTATCAAACCACACACCTCATCACGGATGTGCAGGACTTGCACAAGTAAGTGAGTAAGCATCTTGATCATCTCTATTCTCGCTCCTGTCAATATACACAACCTACTACCCCATGATGCCACCGGCTCGAGCTGAGCAAAAATCAGTGTGTTTACGGTAACGGTGCTCTTCAGTCGTTTACTCGCATGACTTCACCAAGCTGATGTCACACACGTCTAGCAACGCATGCCTCTCACAACCTTTGACCATTGCCTTGTAGCAAGATCAATGAACTCAATTCACATTGGAATCAAGCTTCTTCACCCATTGGGTGTTCCTATGGGATCTATGGGCCATTAACAAGTTGACACAAAGGGCCCGTCGAGCACACCCTGAGCACTGCGGAGCCAAGCGTGATCCGCCGGCTCAACGAGGTACTGAGCAGGTCGGCCCGAAGGCTCCAGGAGTACAACCTTCCGGAACATCATGAAAATAGAACATGCCAACATCCACCACATAATCTGAAAGAACCAAAGGACTGAAGCCCCAGCACAATCTGAATGATCCAGGTCGCCCAGCATGAGATTTGCCCAGCCTCACCGTAGCAAAGGAGCTATCTGTGGCCAGCTGGCTGAACACGCCAGGATTCATCAGGCCAGCAAAGGAGACTATTACTGGAGAAGCATCACCACAAGAACTGAGCTCCTCTACAATTAGGACCCTGTTTGTAAGAGCCAAATTTGAACCATAAAGTGTGAAGCTGCAAATGGATCCCATGGTGCAGTCCACCCTGTAGGTACCGTAGGGCCCACTCATGCTGAACACACCCAGCTCCACCACAAAATTGGCACCCCCATCATAGACACCATGTGCCCAGCAAAGTCGATAGTGTGAACCGATGCAGCTGTCAGCTGGTGAAGGTACTTTGCAGGCAGTGTAGCTACCACCCACCACCGCAGCACCCAGCGTAAACTTGGAATCAGCTACAAGGACTGGGTTCGATAGCCCCTGAATGGTGGCGACCTGAATGTCCGCCGAGCCACACAGCTCAGAACCCGCAACTAGCTGCAACTGATTGGTGTCATTCAAGCCAACACCAGTAGGTTCAATGACACAGGAGGTTCCCAGAGTGCAGGCAACATTCAGACCTTGAAACGGTCCATTCATGATGAAACTGCCCAAAGGGACATTGTAATGATCATAGCTTGTCGGGTCAAAGCCCCAGCACACCTGATAGCTTCCTGGGGTGCCAGCAAAGCCGATGCCGCCATCATACCGGTCCCCGTTGGCATAGACATAACCAGGGTTGGCAGGTGCCATTAAAAGGTCTGTGCTGGCCGGATTGTTGAATCCACTCCATGGAACAATTGTTGGAGAGGAATCTCCGCAACTGCTGCTAGTAGAGATGAACAGCAGCTTGCTCGTATGTGCAAGTCGCACACCTTCCACATCAATCTTGCAGGGCTCACTCAAGGTGCATTCACTACTCCTTGCCACAGGCCCACCCATGCGCAGGGTCAGCACAGGCACATGATAATCGGTATCGGCTGATGGTGAGTAGCCCCAGCAGACTTTGTAGTCTCCAGGCATGCCACCGGTTGGAATGCCCACTTCAAACACATCAAAGCTTCCTGAGGCGCTCACGGGATTGGCGGCGCCAGGAAAAATGGCCATGTTTAAGCTTGTCTGTCCACAAATATCTGAAAGCGCCGTTATTGCAATCTTGTTGGTAGAAGCTAGATTTACTCCAGTGGCTTGAATGCTGCAGCTCAAGCCCATAGTACAAGTGACCTCCGTCGTTTGTGCATCAGGGCCACTGATTGAGAAGGTACCAAGTTGAATATTCCAGTAATCTACACCACCATTGTGACCCCAACAGACTGTGTAGCCGCTCCCCGGGCCATCTGACGTTGTCCGTGCAATGCCCAAATCGTACACAGCTACATTCCCTGTTGTAGGACTTACCGGATTTGTCAAACCGTCGAAGGTTGCAGTTGTCGCCGACACATCACCACAGGAACTTTCTGAGTGGATGAGAAGTAGTTGATTGGAGGCTGCCAAGCCAACACCTGTAAGCGTGATCTGGCATGCCAATGACATCGTGCATGCCTGAGAGACCTGCACAGGGCCATTCAAAGTCAGAAGTCCCACAGGAACTCGGTAAAAGGCCGCGCCAGCACCATCTGCTGGCGCGCTCGACCAGCAAAGCTTGTAGTCAGTGCTGGGCTGTCCAGCCAGGGGGGTGTTCAGGTCGTAGCTATTATAAGGTGATTGCCCCGTCACAGTGATGGAATTCAGCATGCCAGTCACAGAGGAGAGAGTGGGTCCATTGTCACCACATTCTCCCGCAGAAAGCACAATCATTTTGTTTGTGCTTTCCATCTGAAGGCCTATGAGCTCCACAATGCATGAAAGCCCCAGAGTACAAGCAACGTTTTGCACATTCGGGCCTGTCACTGTGAAATCTCCCAGGGTTAGGGGGAAGTCGGCGGTCGAGCTGGGGCTTGCAGACCAGCAAATGGTGTAGCCTGATTGCGCGGTGCCTGTGTTGGGCCTCCCTAGCTGGTATTCCGTGAACGTCCCGTCTTGCACCAGTTTCTCCACTTCCATGGGGCCTGAGGTGCATGTTTCGACACAACACACTGCAGGTGGAACACTATCATGCTTCCGAATCGCAGGGGAAACAGTGCTGAAACCTCAGCACAAAAAGTCACAATTAGACTTCCTGTAAAAAAATGTTTGCAGCTGGGGGACTGAAAGTCGCTGGAACTGCGCTGGAACCACATTCGCTGCCGGTGTCGACAACTAGAATCTTGTTGGTGCTGGCAAAGGCTATTCCCGTCAGCGTGATGACACAGCTCTCGCCCTTCACACATGTGGACCCATAAAGAAGGTCAGGACCTCCCAGTTCGAAAGTGCCCACGTAGACGTTGTAATCCAATGGAGTTGTAGGTCCGAACGCCCAACAAATGACATAACTGCTCAATGGCACACCTTGCGTTGAAGTGTCAAAAACAAATGTGTCAAGGCTGGTGCCAGATGCAGCTGCTGGGTTAGTCCAGGATGCACCAGACGCATTGACCAGGTCAGCGGCTTGGCCGCACGAAGCACCTTCCTCCAACAGAAGGAGGCCATGAGTACCAATGGTGCTCAAGCCTGAGCCTGTCAAAGTGATCTCACAGGGTTGGGTCAAAACACACTGGTGGTTAGTTTGCACCGGACCGTTGAGTGTGAACAGGCCAGCATCAATGGAATAGTCAGCGTTGACCTTCGAAGGCGGAGTTTGAGTCGGTGATGACGACCAACACACGCGATATCCACTGCCTGGCTGGTTGTCATGGGCACTCAGCGGGCTTCCGAACGAGAACACTGTGTATGGCGAGGCTTGTGGCAATGTGGGGTGCACGAAGCTGGATCCAAAGGAGCTGACCAAACTGTCAACCAGGAGAGGGCACACACCCGAAGCACCAACTGCTACCAGCACCCCATTGTTTTGTGAAAAACCTGAGCCCTGCAAGGTTAAAGTGCATGTCTTTCCCATGGTACAAGCGTGCGACATTCCAGTGGTAGGGCCATTCATGGTGAAGTCGCCGACGTGGAGGATATATTCATCCAGGGATGCCGGGTTCGCAGACCAGCAAACTTTGTACGTTACTGTGGTGTCACCTTCAGTTCCAACTTTCATCTCATAGTAGTTGTCATTGTCATTGTCCCACACAGCTCTGGGGTTCTCAAAGGTTCCGGAAAAGCTGGCAGCCGTCAGCCCAGTTCCGCAGGAAGTTGCAGCTGTGATCACCACCTTGTAGCTGGCAGGTGAAGCCGCTTGGCTGAAGCCTGCCAGTGTCAGAATGCAATCAGCTCCCAACGTGCAGGAAAAAGATTGTCCAGTGGAAGGCCCTTTCATGGTGAAGCTGCCAACATGATCCGGGAAGTCGGCTGCATTGATCGATGACCCGTGGCAAAGGATGTAATCTCCAACAGTGCCGCTAGAAGCAGTTCCGAAATCAAACACAGCTGTAGGATCGCTGTATGACGTTGCATTCTGTGGGTTGGTGATGCCATTCCAGGTCTCAGCTGCATAGCCGGCGTCCCCACATGAGGTGCCAGTCTCGGCGACTACAGCTGATGCCTCTGTGAGGCTCGTGCCCGAAACCTGAAAGCTACAAGATTCAGTAAGTGTACACTGGGGGTTGAAGTATCCCGACGAACAATAAGCAGCAGACAATGGGTCCGGACGATAGCTTCCCTTCAGGCAGCAATAAAATGCCATTCCTGCATATCCATTATCATTGTTACCTTCGATGATAAATTGCCACGAGAGGCACTGCGGCCAGTACTGAGCGCACAAGTCACAACAGGCAGCTGCATTCCCAACCTCTTGACAGCCCTGAGCTATGGAATTCACATCCAAGGTGATGGCCAAGTTCGTACCCTGGTAGCACACACTCGTCTCCGTCGTACAATCAGTACCAGCTGCCACAGCGACCAAGGTCCAGAATCCAAGTACCCGCAGGCCACGAGCACAGCTTTCGACGCCATGGCGTTGTTCTACTTGGGATTTCATGGTCTGTGGCTTTAGTAAGAGGAGAACAACTTTCTGAATATAAACTGCATGAGTCTGAGCGGTCTTGCAGTGTCTGGTGCCATGTCTCCAGGCAAAAAGCACATTGAATTCCATACTGTCTTTCTTTCATGGTCTAGTCACGTCATCCCGAACCCGAACGTTGGGGATAATCCCTGTAGCTGCAGCAATCTCTTTTGTCGCTCTCTCTCTCTCTCTCTCTCATTCTCGTGCTGGCTGGCGAGTCAAAGCACGGCTCTCATCGGTCTATGAAATCCAATCCAGCTCACCGAGGTTTC